ACAGACCCTAAAATTATGCACAATCAAAAGCGTTTTGATTTACAAGATTGCACAATCTATTAAAACCTATTAAACTAACAATTATGTTGACTCTGGTTCCCCAAATACACTCCAATTTTGTATTGTCTTTATTAATTTTAGAGGTATTTGTCGGTTTGCCTCCTAAACTTGTATAGAGCTATCAATTTTTCCCCTGACCTTTAATTTTAGCCAATTACCCCTTTAAACTTTTGTAATTAGCCAATTTTCCTTGAACTTTAACTTTAACTGATTACCCTTAAAATTTTATAAATAGCTAATTACCCCCTAATTTAGGTTTTAAAATTTTCCATCAAATTTTCCATTCTTTTTGCCCCATAAAGTTGTCATGTGTTATCTATGTGCTCAAAGTGGATGGAAAATTGGACGAAAATTTTAAAATCTAGCATAAAGGGGGAAATTGGCTATTTATAAAAGTTCAATGGGTAATCGGATAAAATTAAAGTTCAAGGGAGAAATTTAATAATTAGAAAATTTTAGGGGGATCATTGACTAAAATTAAAGTTCAGATGGAAAATTGACAGCTTTATACAAGTTCAGAGAGCAAATCCACAAATATGCCTTAATTTTATTTGCCCAAATTACACCCAATTTTGAAAAATGGGTGATGACACACCCCGACCAAGGTCAAGGCATGATGGCCATCATGTGAGAGTGACGTAGCCATGTGCACAGTGCAGAAGCAATAATAATAAGAAATATATGAATAATTTAAAAAAAAACCGAACTACTAGAGTGCACTACTAAACAGGAAGTGATAGGAGTTAGTTACAAACGTAAACACTCCTAATCAGAGCATAATAAGTCTAGGTGCAGTCCAGTAAGACAAGTACTGGTTATATAGTACCAAGAATGTCTTACTATTATTTAGATAGGTCATAACTGCTGACGTCCTCAAGCCACCAACAGCAAGCTTACTTAAAACCTAGAGGGACGGAAAACGGAAAACGTGAGTGGGAAAAAACAAATGTTTTACAAAACCATTTCATTTATCAACATATCTAACCCCTCACTGTAAAACATGTATAATTTTTCCCAGAATCAAGATATAAGCATATACATAACTATATATGAAATCATATCAATTCAATTCATACTTCACATAATCATATTCATATATATGCCATGCCAAGATATAATAGAGTAAGCAATTTAGGTAAGAATAATTTCATAGAAATATAATATGTGAGCCGGAACCCCTATGGTAGTCTATACGGCTGAATTCATAGCTTAAAAGTCACTCTAGCCGGAGTTAAAGGAAATTTTGTGAAAAACATGTTCATTTGAGCAACATCTATATAGCATGCAATTAACAATTAAAGGCAGAATCATGCTTGTATGCACTCAAAAACAAAACATTACCCATGAAATTCAAAGCCTAGTAGTTAGGTGAACCAAGACTCAACTCAAAACAAAATGAGTTGAGAAATTTATACCTTTGTTGATTCCTCTTTGCATAAGCAAAGGATAATCACCCAAGAGATAGGGCCTTCATTCCTTGCTTCTTAGCTCCATGGATTTGGATGGAAAAACTGGTTTCTCCAAGTTCTCAAAGTTGAGAACCTCTAAGTCTTCACACCAAGGAAGGATTGATGAAGAAATGAGTGACCTAGAGGAAGTAAGATTGCTAGCTATGTTCCTCTAGGGTGGCCGGCCTCTTAGAGAGCAAAGAGAGCTTTTGTTCTCATCTTTTCTCGCAAAAGAAACCCTAATGAAGAAAAGGCTATAAAGTCATATTTATACCTACCTTCATTGGAGTGGCAAACTTGTAATAAGTCCAAAACCCACTCCATTATCAATATGGCCGGCCATAGGGTATTATTGGGTTGTTTGGGCCTTTGTGAATATTTAGTCATTAAGTTGTCATACAACTTAAGTCAATGGGCTTGACGTTCGAAGTCCATTGGGCCTTAAGGCCCAAAACTAACCCTAGGTCTTTTAACGAACTTTATTCGTTTGATTAATTAACATATTAATTAATCCTTGCCATAAATAATTAAACCATTTAATTATTCTTACTCATCTCCGTTGTTTCTTCAATCTTTACCTTACACGGTGTACGATCCATTAGGTTCCTTTTAGCGAGGCAGTGGGCGATTAGAACTCTTTCAAATCGATTGTGAATTGAAACTTACTTTCAATTCTCCCTTTAGTGATTATACACGTTTAGGGCTTCCGCAAACCATGAGTGACACCTAGCAGTATGTCATGGTTACCCAAGCTAATCAGAAGAGGTGGAGAACCTATTCAGTTTAGGATTACAATGCAATACGGTCTTTCTCTAATACAATACTCTTGACCACATTGTTTGGATTGATAGTTTATTCATGTTTACTATCCAATGTGATTAATTTACTTATATGATTACCTTGAATGTGATTTGGAATGACTTCCTAAATCTCATTCATACTCTGGCAAGAGATTCTTAATCATATCATAGAGTATTCTCCCTCAAACAGTTTGAAGGTTAGAGATCCCTTGTTGCGCATTCACTCGCCTCCATGGCTAAGTGGCTTAACCCCAACTATGCTGTGGACACCCTCGAATGGAGTAACTTTGACATAGTCAAAGATCAAGGACTTAACCACAAGACAACTATGATGCCTCAGGTCAAAGGACTACTTTGCATTATCCCAACCATGAGTTCTCATGTGACATGAGTATGAGGACTCCTCGTTGATCGTGTTCAGTGGACTCATTCGCTATTGAGCACTTACATGCTTGTCTTGGTGTCAATCACACCAATGACTCGAGACCAGTCACTCTCCATGAGAGAAGACACAGCACGTACTGATCTTAACGGACTGTCAATGCCCAATTGGCAATCCTATGATCAGGAACGTTTAGGATATGTATACGAAAGAGAATGGTCTCATAAATCTAACTTGTTTAAATTACATTCTCCTAATTACATATTCCTTGGACTTATCATTTAAGCATATAACATTTATATGAGACGGCTTAAAACAATAATCTTTGCCCTTGATATTAAACTAGATTAGTTTAGCATGTGAAATGTCCGTAAAGTATCATCACATGATTGGTTTAGGGCACATTTCCAACACGAGTCACTACTATGACCTACACGGCAATATACTGCACAAGTGTCGGAACCAAACAAAAAGGTCTATACGACAATAATGGGTGTGATACAATCATGCTCAATACTACTCTCACGTAATAGCTGGACGATAAATTGCTAGTCACCTACAAGTCGGAACCATAAATAAGGTCTGTACGACAAGACTATGCACCTAAATTGGATCTAATATGAGCATATGGTGCGGGAGGTGACATAATGAACAGGCTTGTGCCATATCTATGGCTAAATCACAATCACCCTAAGTGCAGTTTTATGAGCTCAACATTATTCAATCACATATCACATCATCGATGATTCACATAACCAAACACAACTTACCTGAGCTTACTTGAGTGTCCACATCACCACATTTATATATATAAAGCATCACATACCAAATCATGTATGAATTATAAACTTATATGCATGGCATTGATGGCGTACTGTTATTTAAACACATATTTCTGGGAAAATATCAAGTATATAATATATACTGAAAACCAAAAGCCCACTCACTAATAAGTCGAAGGGTCGTAGCCCCCGAGTCGCCCTTGGATTCGCTCGTCCTCGGGATAAGTCTCACCTATATGCGAATTAACTATAAAAACGTTATTTTAAAGCACATAGACAAAACTAGCTAATAACTTCTCATACATACCTCAAAATGGGTATATGAATATACCACAGTGACCTACATAGGCAAGTGCACGACAAGACGCACGGCCACGCGCAGGGAATCCTGACGGATTCCCTAATTGCCATTAGAAATATTCCCGGAATATTCCGTTAAAACCCAACGGTAACCGTCCAACTAACTGACGACGTTAGCATATTCCGTCAAAACTGACGAAATATTCCTCTTTCTTCCCCGGTGAGTCGCCGGTCGCTGGCGACTTCGCCGGTTTCTGGGTAAAACTTTAAAACCACTATTCTCCTTCGTTTCTTCACCATTTTTCATGTAATTGGTACCAAAATGAAGCTAATAACATGTAGAATCACGTTATACTATTTTTAAGCCTTGAAATCCACTAGAATTTACCTGAGGAAGCTCGATAATCCGGTCAACTTTGAAAAACTTCGATCTCGGTCCTCCGACGTCCAAACTCTTCCAACGAACTACCCCGAGCTTCCTTAGGACCTCCTAAAGCTCCTTGTGAGCTTGAAATTCTCTGAAACATAAGGTTTTACGTCCACATGAATAGTGCATGAAAAATGAGTTTCAGGTTCTCGAGATTTCGAAGGAATCCTTACTTGAAATGGGTACCAACCAACTCGAAATGGCACGAGGAATGCAATGGTGCCTTTATAATCTTTGATCTGTGATTGGGAAGCTCACCTCGAGCTTGGTCCGTACGAGGAAGAAGAGAGAGAGAGAGAGAGAGTGAGTCCGAGAGAGATGAGGGCACGGGAAGGAAGATAGAGGGAGTGAGTGTGGTGTGTGTGTGATCCACGTGGTCACCAATCCAAAACCACACAATAAACTCTAAGTCTCAATATGTTACACATACATATTACAATTTCCCCGTCCAAGGATAAAACTGTCATTTGACATCACTAAAAATTAAATATTCGGGACAGGTTGTGACAGGTGAATTTGGACAATGACTTCTCTTGTAGGTGGGTTCAGTCCAAATTGGAAATGGAAACCCATGAAGAAACCCGCCTGTTTTTTTGAACAAGAAAACTCAGAAAAAATAGTGCTTAGTTTTGATTACTAAACAATATAAACTAGCTAAATTTCAATGTCAAATTTGAAGTATACAAATAATATACTCCATCAAACTTTCCGGGAAGATCTGCAAACCTATAAATTACATATATTCTTAGGGGAAACTTCAGAATTCAACTATCAATCCCATCTATTTGTAAAACCCAGGGCATGAGATTTGATGGGGTACCAACACCTATTTTTCTATTGCTGTTTCTAGCTTCTCTTCTTGTTCTGAGCTATTTTCTACAATCGATCTCGCGACGCAATCTTCACTTCTCATCCAATCCTCCATTCGTGTTTTTGTTGGTCAACATCATAATCGTTGCGATCATTGTTGGAAACCATAGGCCATCTTCTGTGGAAGCTGACGACATCATATCCTTCGTGTATCATTCGTATGAACTGGAAGAAGACGGAGCAGGTGATGCTGAGGATACAAAGAGTGATTAACACTCGAGTTTGGAAGGTTATGACAAGTGTAGTGACCATGTTGATGACAACGATGGTGGTGAAAGTGAAAGTGACGATCATTTTGATTCAGATGGTTACGACGAAGATGATGACGACAATGGTAGTGAAGGCGAGATTGGTTGGGGAGACATGGATGAATATGACTATAATTTGGAGAAACGAATCGAAGACTTCATTGATAAGGTTAACAAGGGATGGAGGGAAGAGAGGGTAAGGGATGGTGTCTCCTACCCCTTACAGATAACCTACCTGTGAAGTATTTAGAAGCCCCTTCAATCTTCGCAGATGTACACAGATTACCTTCAAATTTATCCAAAAAAAGAGATGAAACTAATAGTTCATTAATTCATTTCTCCATGCATGTAACGAAGCTCAAGAACATAATAATTTTTTTTTTTTTACCTATTCCGATCTTTTGTAGGCGCTAGCTAGACCCGGTAGTTTTTTACACGATACGGTAACACGACACGAAAATAACAGGTTTCAAGTCAACACGATAACTAATCGGGTCATTATCGGTTGACCCGTTATGAACCCATTAATAACGGGTTCTTAATAGGTATACACGTGGGTAACATGTGGGTAACCCGTTTCGACCTGTTAAGAAAAAAATTATTTTGACAATTTTAAAGTTTAATTACTAAAAGATTTATTATAAAATACAATAGCCATATTAATATATACAATAAATTCTATATTAAATATATAGTTTTGTATTATTATTCTATATAAGTTAAAAAAAAAGTTTTAGTCATTATTTATTTTTATTATGAGAGTTCCTTATTATCATTACTAGGATAAATTTTACTTAACATGTTGTTGTCCAAAATTAAAATAAACTAGTATAGTATTTGTATAGGCAAGAACTAAGAAGACATACATACAAGTATGAAAAATATGAAAGAATATATAAACACTCGTGATTCATCATTATTCCTCCACTAGTAGATAATGGTTATACTTACATTATCGTTTAGATTTTTAAAATCCTCCAAACCCTCATGAATAATGTTTTTTATTTGAGGGAAAAATTAATAAAATTAATAATAATTATTGTAGAAGTGTAAAAAATATAAAAAAAATATACAATCACTCAGAGTGACAAGCTTTACAACTTTCATGAAGGGGTCAGCTTCGAAATCCAACACTATAATCCATAAACCTTAAATTTATATTTAACCGTCGATTGTCATTTACGCTTTATTCTTCTTATTAAATTTCATTTGTAAAATTTTCTTTTTTGAAAACATCATCATCTGGCAGATGTAAGAAGATCTGAAAAAAAAAATTTGATGAGAACAATGAAGCGTAAATGTAAAAAACAATCAACAGTTAAATTTTGATATATGATTTATATGATTATAGTGGCGAATTTCGAAGTTAAGCTCTTCATGAAAGTTGTAAAGCTTGTCATTACGAGCGTTTATATATATATTTTTATGTTTTTTACACTTCTACATTAATTAAAAAACTATTAAAGACATTACTTAAATACGTTTTTATTTTTTGGATGTGACAATATGGTATGTATATACTTATTTAGTATTATGTTTTTTATTTGATTATTTATTGGTTTAAAATATATTTTCCTTAACGGGTAACGGGTCAGGTCATAGTACCTGTTAATATTATCGGGTTGATTTCGGGTCAGGTCATTTTACCCGTTTATTTTAACGGGTGTTACACGACACGACCCGTTAAGATATCGGGTATGACACGAAACTACACGAACACGAAAAACACGACACAAATGCTAGGTCTAGCGCTAGCATAGGGGGGTGGAGACTGGGGCCTAGTGCCTAGGCGGCTAGAGCCTAAGCGAATTAGGCAGATATCATATATATTATAAATAAGTGTGTTTATACTTCAAAAAAATACATAATTTCATTAGATACATAAAATGCAAAATAGAATGGCATAGATTATAAAGTATTATAACATAATAAAAACACGGAGAGCAAGCATATAATGTGTGTTCATCTAAGTATTCAACAAGTTTCTTACAATTTCTTAAAAAAAATGCAAAATGAAAGTAATTTATTTTCCGTCTAAGTGAGAGTTGCGACATAGGTGGGTTTGGATGGGCTAGGCGGGTTTGGATAGGCTAGGCATACACCTAATCGGGGTTTCGTTATTTTTGAAACCCAAAATAAAAAAAAACAAAACCCACAAACAATAAAGATTTCCATAACACATTCCCTACCACTTTCTTCGACTTCCCATCTTTGCAAATCCAAAACACCTAATTAAAGAAAAAAGTAATTAGTTGCAGAAATGGAGACAATGACCGAGTCAGAGATAGAAAGAGACGAGAGAGAGAGAGAGAGAGACAAACTGGATGGGTGTGGAAATATGGTTGCCAAAGCTTCATTGGTTGGAAATATGGAACTTTCCAACCAAAACGGAAAATTTGGTATAAAAGTCATATCTTTAAGGATCAAACACTGATGCAAACAAGCTCACTTCGAAACTTCACTCTCGACTTCCCTCTCTTCCATATCGGAGCTCAACCTAGAAACCCAAAGCTCACACAGCTCTCTCGGCATACCTATTTTCCAAATGACAAATATGATGAATAAGCTGAGGGTTTTTAGTATTTATATGTGGGTATTTTAGTAATTTTGGTTTTGTGCATGATGTGCATGGCTGGTTTGTCCAATTATGTCCCAATATTAAGAAAATGTCATATTTCTGGTTATTTCCCTAAAAATTAAAATGTAAAAGAAAACATATCAACCAAAATTTTATACTTTTTAATGACCTCCCTTAGAGTCTCGCACAGGACCCCTAAAATCTCAGGGTCGACCTTGGTGGCAGAAAGTCCATGAAGAGTCCACCTTTGAGAGTGTCTCCTAAGCATTTCTCTTTTTCTTATGTGCTTATCTATGTTTATTCAAAGTATAAGCAGAAAATGAGTATACGAGCAGATGTATATTATCATGAGTAATTATATTTGTAGGTTGCTACATTGTTTTATTTTTATTTAATGAATGATAAATAACAGTATAAGCAGAAAATGAGTATACGGATGAATGTATATTATCGTAAGTAATTACATTTGTGGGTTACTATGCTGTTTTATTTTTATTTAATGAAAATAACTGAAAGCTTTTTCCAAGCAAAAAATAAAAAATAAAAAATAAAAATTCATGAATAAAAAAAGGACGAGATCAAAAACATATTTCTTAATGAGTCATCTCTTCTTTATGTAATAATTTATCATCCTGCCCACTTCATTCAAATCATCCCCAAAGGATCCCAAAGGATGAGGATCCTCTTCCGATCCTCACATTCTAACCGTTCATCATACATTGTGCGACCAGTTTTTGTTAGTAACTATTTGTATGTAATTTTAAATAATAAAATTCAAATGATCCTCACATCCTCATAATTTGGATCCGGATGGGATCCAAATCCATCCCCAAATACTGCTTAGTTTCCTCATTCTATCAAGTTTCATGCAGATATAAAAATAAATAGAAATCTTAATTGTGGTCAATGTCTAGGTTTATTGGTTTGTTTTGGTCAATAGCCTAAACAGTTAATTGAGTTGTGTTTTAAATCCAAACGCACAAGTTATCAGATACATGCATGCATGCCACCTCAACATGTCTTGTTGGAGATAACTTTGCAAGAGGCACTTATTTTTTAATACCTTTCGTTAAAAACACTAACCTTTTTTTTTTTTTTTGGATAAACTGGATAATATTAATCCAGGCAAAGATGCCAAAAGTTTACAAGAAGGCCTATAGAGAGGCAAACAACCAAACATGGCACCAGAAATAGGTAGTGCAAGGAGATACATGGATCCTGACACCGCATCTAATGCTAAAACATCACTTCTCACACTACCCACATGAAGACCTAGTGTGGACAAGGAAGACCATCATTACTGAGAACATGAACTAGGGAAGATGGAGGTCTGTCACCCAAATCACATTGCATATTTCCCTACATCGCTGCGACACCAAGAGGTGCACACTTGGTTGGCCAATCTTGGAATCCAAGACTAGCGACAGTCATGGAAAGACTCTCCCAATCTAACACACTGCATAAGTACAGGGAAAGCTTCCTACCTACCCTTCGAAAGCAAGTCCCGCAGAGATGCGATTGCATCAAAGGAATCAGATTCAATGGTCACTGAATTCCAACCCAATTAGTGACCCAACTCGCAACCATGCCTAATAGCCAGCGCCTCCGCCATAGCCACTCCTATCCTTCATTGGATACCTGCCTGCACCTAAAAAATGATTATCATGGTCTCGTGCAACTACCCCAGCAAAACCCGAGTTTGGAGGAGTCCACGTAAATGGAATCACCGACTATGGAGTACCGGGTGTTGTGCGAGTGCACAATGATTGGTTAGCATCCAAGAAAGCCTCAATTGAAGTGGAAATTGCTAGTACGACTTGCCTGGGATTGATTGGTTGTTGGTTGAAAAAAAAGTTGCATCGTGTTTTCCAAATGTGCCAACATGTAAAAGCAATATAAGACATTAACCCAAGTGGATGTCTCCAAAATCGCCTCATAGTCCCACGGCAACACAAAAGGTTTCAAGAATTCAATATCTCATTGCCCAGTTGCTAGACTAATTAGAGAGTGCACCCGCAAATTTCTAGTGACTGGCACCACGCTTAACAATTCTGATCTACCCGAGGGGATGTGTGGGAGCCATCTATCATTCCAAACCTGAACCTCTCGACCATTCATAATTTGCCAGTAGGTACCCCTCAACAAGATATCTCTTCCCACCAATAAACTAGACCAAGCCCAGGAAACTCTCCTTCCCCTCTTAGCTTCAAGGAAGGAGCAACTGGGGAAATATCTAGCTTTAAGAACTTTCACCCACAACGAATTCGGCTCCGTTATCAATCGCCAACATTGTTTTGCCAGAAGAGCATCATTAAAGGTTTCAAAGTTCCTAAAACCGAGTCCACCTTCAGCCTTTGATCTACACAACCTCTCCTTAAAGACCCAATGGATTCGGTGTTCTACACCCCGTTGCCCCCACCAAAATTGGAAAATAATTACATCGAATTCATTACAAAGTGTCGTGGGGAATTTAAAAAGGTTCATCGGGTATGCTGGGATTGCTTGCGCCACCGCCTTGATCAAAACCTCCCGTCCTGTTTGTCAGAGTAGAGATTGTTTCCAACCTTGAATTTTCCCCAAAAGTCTCACTTTCATATAGGCCAAGCCGCATTTCTTTGACTTGCCCCATATAGCTGGTACACCCAAATAGGACCCTGGGTCTC